ATGATAGTAGGTTGTTGACCATATGACTTTCAATGGATGCTAGAATCCAAGAAATAATTTTGGCATCCTTACTCTCCCATTGACTGAGTTCCCTAGCTTCTGTAAGAGGAGGAGATGTTCCATCAATGTGATTCCAGAGTTCTTTTCCTTTCAGAAACATTCTAAATTGAAATTCCCAAGCACCATAGTTTTTCCCTGTAAATTTGAAACTCAACGTCTCTGCAGGCAGTTTTCCGATATGATGTGCAGCAGACATTCTAACTAGAAGAAAGCTTTTTTATCTTCTCCCAGAAAAAAATATTTAACCACTATGTGATTGACCAAAAATCCCCAACGAAGTTGTTAATCAAAAAATTTGATCAAACAAAAATCTCTGAAAATTTCCCAAAAAAAAAAAAGAAAAAAACAAAGTGGCTCTTATACCATAACAAGTTTTGAGTGAATGACTTTTTCCTTAGGCTCTTTTCCATTAAATAGTAATTTGTGTACAATCTATGTAAGCTGCTAGTCTAGCTCCTAGTCTACCGTCTTATTTACTCCTAAAACATAACTCTGAATATTTACAATTAATGGTCAGCCATAAGTAACTCTTTTACGGTCAACCATAAGTTACTCCTTTACAATTAAGGGTCAGCCATAAGTTAATCCATAATTTCTGCTTTGTTACCACCACCTTCTGCTTCATGGATTGGCAGGTGATTGAGGTGCTGTTGAGGAAGAAAATCACTCTCGTTGCGCTCTTGCTAGCATCAACATCCCCAGCATAATCTTTATCACTGAAACTCGTCCAGTGAGCTTCCTCCTCCTCCTTCTTACCAAATCAAAGTCCTCAATTCTGGGTTCATGCCACATAGCGCAGAGTGTGCATCACGACAACAAGGTGATCCTCATGTGGGTCTTCCAAAAACCGGCTAACATAGTCAACAACAAAAGACAAATCGTGTCGAGTATTAACCATGTACCTCAAACTCCCGACGATGCTCATGTACGTCGTCTGGTCGACTGCCGGCGGCAAGCTAAATTTTCTCAATTTCAGTCGTGTCTCCATAGGCACTTGGCAGGAGTTGCACCCAACCATGCCACTCTTCTATATAATCTTGCCAGCATAGGCACCCTGGCTAAAAGAGATTCCCCTCGCGCTCTGCTTCACTTCATTGCCGAGGTAATAGTGAAATAAGCCAAGGTCACTCATCTTTAACGTGACCGCCATCTCCTTCTTGAACGACTTTGTGGCCGCAGCTCGAGCCGGTGATCACGAACGAGATCATCGACATAGACCCGACCACTGAGTTATCGTTCCGCATGATGTAGATGGCATGCTCCGACGCATTCCTCTTGAGTCGAGTAACATCAGTGTGGCGTCCAACTTTGCGTTCCAGGTAACGACCGTCAGTGCCTTCCAAAGCTTGAGCATCTTGTGCTCCTTGCTGGTGATGACAAAACCAGCCGACTAGTTCCTCCTACAGGTCGCCGTTCTTGAACGCTGATTTGACGTCAATGTGGTGTACCTCTCACCCTCGTGCACCGCAAGGGCGATAAGGAGGCGCACCGAGTCCAGCCTAGCAACCGACGCGAATACCTCGTCGTAGTTAAAACCGTGCCGTTGTGCGTAGCCCTTCACCACGAGGCGCGCCTTGTGCTTGGTCACTGCCCCGTGCTCGTCCCTCTTCACCTAGAACACCCATTTAAACACCCCCCCTCCCCCCGATAGCCTTGCGGTCGGATGGGAGGTCAGCGAGGCACCATATACTGTTCTCCTCGATGGACTCCATTTCCTCCATACTGTGCTCTGCCTCGACGAACCGAGGCAGGCTTGTCGGCGCTCACTGCGTACAGCTCCTCCATCACCAAATGCGTGCGGTGCGAAGCCTTGTGGCGAGGCTGGCCCGAATATATCGTCGACACTGCGGAACCGGAGAGGCGCGTAATTGTCGTGGTCAGCATCCTAGTTGTCGTCGTCGTAGATGTCGTCTGGCGAATTAGGCACCGAGCCGTGTTGGGAAGAGCCGATTGTTTTCCTGGCGTTCCTCCTCCAGACGTCTCGATAACATCATCAGCCTCATGCGCAGCTTGGCTGGTGGTGGTATACTCCACGGCGAATACATTGTCGCCGCCACTGGGCTTGTCGTCGTCGTCGCCATCGCCGCCGATGCTCCAGCCCCACTGAGCTTACTCGTCGAACACCATTTCACGCGTCATGCAGACACACTTTGCGATGGGGTCGTGACCGCGGTCCTCCAACTTCTTCAAGTGCGGTGCATAGACGATGCAGCCGAACGTTCTGAGATGGTGCATTGCTGGCTTCCTCCCGTGCCACGCCTCGAACGGTGTCATCCCCTCCATGCTCTTGATCGGTCACCTATTCAGCACGTACACAACGGTGTTGACCGCCTCACCCAAGAACCATCCAAACAGGCCCTTGGCCTTGAGCATGCTCGTCGCCGTTGCTACCGCCGTGCCATTTCGGCATTTGACGACACTGTTCTGCTGCGGGCTATAAGGGGCCGTGTGCTAATGGTGCAGATATGCACAGTAGTCTGCAAACTCGATCGCAGTGAACTCGCCCTCGCAATCAGTGCGGAGCGTCTTCGTTTGATGCCAGACTAGTTTTTCGCCGGCACTTGAACCTCCTCGATGGCAACCGCGACACGATCCTTTGAGGGAATTGCAGCTACCCACATGTATCTGCTGAAGTCGTCCACCATCAGCAGAAAGTACTTGTTTCCTTTTAGTGTCGCCAGCGTGATAGGGCCGCACAAGTCACCATGCACCAGCTGTCGAGGACTGTACTCCGCTTGCGCTGGGAACGAAGTCCCCCTTTGCTTCTCGGCTTGGCACGCATCGCACAGTTGGTTGACCTGCCCAATCTCTGGTAGGCCACGCACTAGCTCCTCCCGAGCCAGCTTCAGAGCACCGTCATGTTGACATGGCCGAAGCGCTCATGTCAGCGCCATGCCATCTCGTCGCCACGCCCACGCACCGTTACGCACGATGATACGGAGCTCGTATAGGTGGTTGGTCGCCCGCGTCACCTTCGCCAATAGTTGCCCGCCGAGCTCCCTGATTCTCAACACCCATCTTTGTATTCGTCCTCATCTAGTTGCCCGAGGCTGATAATGATCGAAGCTCGTCGTTCTTGCACGTGAATACAACGGTGCCTCGACCCTCGATCCGAGCCACCGAGTCATCACCAAACCGCACAGTCCAGCTTCGACAACGGCGCCTTAGATCTAAACATGTGGTTGGTGGCGCCAGTGTCCAAGACCAGATCTCTGCCTCTCGCTCCCTTTCTTCATCGAGGTGGGCGAACACTTTCTCCTCATGAATCTCGATTAGGACGCTCAATCTCGTCGACGCCGCTCTGGATCTGCAGCCGCCATGGAGTGTCGACGAGACGAGCACTAGCGTCTCGGCCCGGTGGTGCTCCCTTGAAGATTGGTGGTGGCGATGGGGACAACGAGGGAGAGGACTTCACGAGCATGAGTGACGCCTCCTCCTCATCCTGCGCAACATGGGCTTGTTCCTTCTTGGGCTTTGGCCGGCACTCGCGAGCCCAATAGCCCTTCTTCCTGCAACGCCTGCATTCGTCAGGCCAGTGTGAGTTTGACGAGCACGACGAATCTCCGCCGGGCATTGCCGCTGGAATGGTTCTCCGCCTCGCGCTTCTTTCGACGTGTGCCCCATTCCTCTTCCGTGAGGTACAGTTTCCCCTCGTGCTGCAGCGACGCTAGAGCTTCTTCATACCCTTCCTCTGCCTCCTTCAGTCTCTCCCGGTGGCGATCGTCATGTTTGACACATGAGATCTGCTTGAACCGAGGTGACAGGGTGCAAAGTATATTCGCAATGATCTCGCTCACCGCCAATTCCGCGTCTAGCGTGGCGAGGTGTGCCGTTCAGGTGCAACGCATATTCCTCGATAGTTTCACCGTCTTCAAAATCGGCGAGGTCGAATTTTCGATGTAGCTCCTACACGTTGACCTCCTGACGCGGTTGTCCCCAACCCTCATGGACGCAATCGCGTCCCTGGCCTCCCTTGTTGTCTCCTTTTGGCGATCGTCGATACCATCTCTGGTGCCACTACACAAGACATTAAGCGCCATCATCTCCTCTTGTGGATTGGCGCCGCCGTCCGCGATCACGCCCCAGAGAGCCCTGACCTTCAATTTGACCTTCATCGGGAGCGCCAAGTCAGAGTAATTGGTCTTGGTGACAACGGGATAGCTACTACTCGTTGGATCACAACATCGTCCTTTGAGGAGCCTTCGACGTTCTTCTTTTCACTCATGGTCACAGGTACGAGTAGCTTGTTAGAAACTCGTCGGAGAGACAACACCAGGTTACCGGAGAGATCACAGCCAAAACACAAGACACAAAATAAAAACTCACGTGAAGACAAAACAACACACTCTTGTTTGGTGCTTTTGAATTAACACCTTTTCTTGTGTTATTCTATTGCTTATATAGGAAAATACAAGGAGCTACATAAGGTCTACAATCAAGATTACATGGAAACTATAATCAAATAAATATTCACACCTATTTTAGGGAAGCAATTAAGGAAAACAAATAAATTAATCAAGGTGCACAAGGATTATATCCTAAAGATATATCCTAACAATAATAAAAGATATTCTAACATTAATTTGTACAAAGTCAGCAAATTTTAAAAAGGTGGATGTGAATTTCATCGTCTTTATGAGTGGTGGGGATGAACTTGAGCAAAGAGAAGAAGCGCACCATATTTGATGTGTCCAAATATACAGAAGTCATTACATAGAAAGTAAGATGAATGAATATTTCAATGAATATTTCACATTGAACGCCTTGTTCTATTATTAGCATCTTAAATAATTATTTGGTATAAGTAATCATCTCATTACCAACCCCAGATTTATTCTCAAATAATATTAGCACATCACGAGATCAATGTTGCAGCCACCAAAGGCCAAAAACAATAACTGGCAACTACATTCATCCATTGAAAAATCATCCACCACAGCTTAACTGCATTTCAGTTCCCATATATAAAGGCATAAACTATCATTTACTATCACGTTGTTCAGTGAAGTTGGAGGCGAAACATACCCTAGTTGTGAAAGTGAGCGGTTAATATTCCCTGCTTCCTTTAAGCGTTCTCCAGCTGCACCTGTTTGCTTTTGTCTCTCAGATCCAGCAAGGTCAACAAAATTGATCCTGCTCATTTTCAAGCGGCTTAAACCATCGGTTGCACTCTGTAATATATATAGTCCACGATTTAGCAGATTGAGTCAAACGAAGTGGCAGTCAAAAGGAAAAGAATAAAAAGGAGAACGAACAACAACACATTTGGATGTATGCCACACCCGAATACACAATAAAATATACAAGATTAACTCCTAGACAAATTCAATCTCTGTTTGTCAACTTGACCCTCAAAATTCAAAAAATGAGATGGACAACAGTCAAAATTGATTATGAACTAGTATTTAGAGCAATAAAATTCAAATCAAGGATCCCCTTACCTTGCCACGTGATTCAACCACACATGTGAAAACACTGTGGGAACGAGAGCTTTCAGCATTCACACATGTGGCACTGGTTTTTCTGTTTGACAACCCCTGTATGCAGAGAAAATAAGTGGGAATGTCCATATTATATTCAGTTGAGTGGTTCTCAATAACAAGAGGAAGCAAAACAATGCAAAAGAAGACACTGCTACACCACTTATCTGAAACGGGTAATGTGTGGAGCCAAATTGCATTTACATCCAACTAACAATCATTTATTCTAGAATACCCCAGGCAGCACCCATTGGCCTATTAATCTCATCCTACTCAAAAGATGGTTTATGGATGATTGTCGTTATTATATCTTCATGATATACATCAGTCAAGAATTAAAGGAAATTTGTCCGCTTGGTTACTCAAACTTTCAACTTCTTCAACTTGTAGTTTTTCTTGTCTAAGTGATTTTAAATGTGGAGGGCATATATTAACAAAACTAAGAATAGATAAGAATGATATGTCACTTTACTATACTATAAAACTTTTCTTACTTTTTATCTTTGTAACTTTTCGGTGCAACTTGCTTCAATACTGAAAATATAAGTTGTTGCAAAATATGCATGACTCCACACCACAAGTACTTAAATTTGCAGTGAATTTGTATATAATCTGACAAAATTATGTACTATGCTACGTTTCAAAACAAATTTGATCAGTATAATTAAAAAATTACAAGGAAAGCCAACCAAATCGACTCTACTCAGAATTGGCCAAGTAATCAAGAATATTCCTAAAATAGTGAAGTTCACAATTTATTTGATGTGAAATCCAAAAACAGTATAGCAAACCTTTATCAGAAGCTGTGACACATCCTTCATAGAGGTTACACACTCCTCTCTTAGATTTTCTACATAAACACCCATTTTGGCATCTTCTCTTATCTGTAATAAGAACAGAGTTATTAATTTATGAGAAAATAAGATACCAAACAAATTTCTGGTTAAGTATATCTAGCTTGCCTAACCTGGAGATTCTTTTGACTTGGATCCAACAAATCAGTTATTTGTTCATTGTATATCTGTCAACATGATCCCCAGATTTTTGGTATAAATGATAACAGGATAATTAAGAAATAGAAAATCAGATGAGCATTAAAAAGATAAAAACTACCAACCTCAAGGAAAGAACAACGGCACATATACACCAGTTGTCTATCAGCTTGTCTGGTTTGCTCCTACATAGGAATGTACAGATAAGAGATCAAAGCAGTCAAACAATTTCACATCATGAAATAGTTGACAAAAATAATGCACCAAACTAACTGGACGCCACCTCAGCAATCCGTTCAAATAGCCTGCAGAATACACGTGGTGCTAGGCCCTGATGTTCTTCCTCCAACAAGGCGTTGGATGCACCCCAGATGGTGTATGTCTTCCCGCTACCAGTCTGATCAAAGAAAAGGTGCAGATTCATAACCATTACATGAGTATGTCAGACAGCTGTGTATTTCTGTAGCAAAATTTTTACCCTACAATAGAATCCTTAATTTAAAATTAAAACTATACCTGCCCATATGCAAAGACAGAGCTATTGAACCCAGCAAGACAATTTTCAACTAGTGGTGCACCTACGAGTTCGAATATATCAATCTGAAACAGACCAATCAAAAATGTTATTCCATCAATAATTCATTCTTTATCAAACCTTGATGTGAAAAATTTGTGTAAACAAGAAAATGAATATTCAGAGGGTACTCATGCCTGTTTTGAGTGAATGTCAGAGATAGAGTCAAACGTAAAGGTTTGCCCTGATATTGTTAAGGAATCTTCCGTGATTTTCTGAACTGCATTTCCACCATCTTCTTCTTCCTTGTTTGGAGGTCTCACACGCACTATCACCTACAATTTGAGTAATACCCCGCATATATGTAAACAAGTACTTATGTTACAATCTGTAAAACTTTGTTAGAAATGGCGCCTAAGCATTTGCAAACACTGTAGTTGATCAAGGAGATAAGAAAATATAGGTATCATTACAATAATATTGAGACATGCACTGTGATAATAAGTTAGTGCCCAACAAACAACCTTTCCAGATGACTGTATCAATACAAAATATTCACACTGCAGTTCATGGTTTATTGTAGAACCTCATAAATAAGGAAATAAATTACAAAAATATCTTGCTAAGAGCAAACAACTACTGATTCGTAAGAAATCAAATTCAAGATCTTCATGAGTTCTGTATCAATATATGATTGGGTATTCCAAGACTGCAACTTGCCAACGCAGATGTACTTAATGATAGCCTTTCAGATCAAGAGAGGAAAGAAAGGCGTTGAAGATAAACTGGACTGGAACTGGTAGATTGTACTTAATGTTTACAACAACTCAAAGACAACAGTAAAAGAACAATAAATAAACCCCAAAATAACACTATATACAGACCTATCAGGAAGAATCTAGAATTTTTGTTTTCTGCTTGAGAAAATGCAATAGAAACAGTCGGTGATCTATTTACGAAGTAGAATTTCAAACCTTCACTCCAGAATCTAGAGAATTAGCAGCTGCCCCACAATTTTCAGATGCCACGGGCTCGACACTGAGCTTGCGCTTGAGTGGCGGCCGAGGGGGGAGAGAACTCTTCTTGGCAGCGGAAGATGATCCCATGGAGTTTGTATCTGATGCTGGCGTTGGAGGCGCATTCTCCTTGTTTGATTTGAGCTTCCGACTGCTAGGGCTTTGTGTGGTCGGCCTCGATTTAGGGTTAGGAGATGCTGAAACAATTTCATGATTTTCTCTCAAGATTTGATTTCTAGGCATCACGAAATTCTTCGTGTTGGAGGCGAGGTAAGAAGAGAATTTGTGCACGAGGAGAGACAGCTTGGAGTGCTTTAGAGAGAGAAACAAAGAGGAACAGCAGAGAGAGAGAGAGAGATAGCCGTTTGAAAGGGGAAGGAGGGAGAATTTAAATTGAATTTTTGGAAATTTGGTTTTTACTAGATCTCGTGAACCGTTTATGGGACCCTATTGCCTTCAAGCCATATTGGTAACTCTTTTGGGCCTTGAAATATAGACTATATTTGGATACAAAAAATTTCAAAAAATTCTAATATTTTAATTCAATCATTTTTTTAAACTTAACTTTAACTCAATCTCATTATTATTAATATTAACAATATAATTAAATAATATCAAGCAATCATTTATACATGCATATCAAACTTAATTCAATATTCATCTACTCATATTATTTTAACTAATCATCATTTTAAATCATCTCTATCCTACTTTTACATCAAATTAATTTTAATTATTTTATTTTGAATATTATTTTAATATACCCACTAACGACTAACGATACTATATTTTTTAAAATTAACCAAACCAATCCAAAAATCCAAACAAAACCAAAAAAAATTATATGCAAACATACCATATAGTCTGTCTGCTCTACGATCTGTATAAATATATGAAAAGAGAATAAAATTTACTATAAACAGTAGTAAAAAAAATGAGAAAATTTTATACATATCTTTCTTGATTTTTTTTTAAATTTATCCATTAATGGATTGTATATACACGTTTATAAATCAAATCAAATCAGATATGATAAAAATATTAATTTTAGAATATTTTACTAACATTTGCAATAATTTCATTGATATCCATTATAATAAACTGCAAATTTATTATTCGTGATTCATGTTGACAATATTTTGTTCAATATAGACATGAAAATAGATTTTAAGTTCTAACCATATTATTAATTTTCTTTCACAAATATTAAGTTTTCATCCTAAAATATTTATAAAAAAACTTAACATGTTAAAGTAAATTTTTTGCCTTCCAATTAACCAAGTGAAATCAAGTTGGTGCATTAATATTTGTATATATTTTTTTTTTTCTTAATCTTTATTTGATATATAAAATAACAAATAATTCTTCAAATTAATACAATTTACCATTTAAAAGATATGACCAGATACATTACATAGTTTAATTAATGTTCAATAATTATTTCTTTAGAATTTCAACATATGATTTATTTATATATTATTGTCAACCATAGTTAATTTTTTTAATTATTTCTTTATTTTCACTACTATTCATAATAAGATTATAGTAAAATATATTTCCATTTTATAGTTTGCTAAATAAACTATAAAACCTTATAATGCAAATTAGAAAAATCTTGATTATAGAAATATCGAGTTTTTGGCATTTGCTAAACCAAAGTTGTTTAATTAGTATACAAAATTAAATTCTAAAAAACATGTACGTATATTTTGTAAAATATTTACACACTATTTGATTTTAAATTTATTTACATATTTTAAATTACATAAATAAATAATACTAACGTGCATTAAATGGTTTTCATTACATAAAATAAAAATAAAAAGAAGACGTGCAACTTTTATAAATTTTATAAATAATAATGATATTAGATGATAAAAAATTTTATAATAATATAATAATTAAGTATTATATGCTGAACAATAATAAGGAAATTTTTTATTTTTTTTTATATCAAGGAATAAATGTATAAACTAAAATTTATATTAGTATAAATGTGTTAGTGAGATAATATATTAATTAATTTACAAGCTAGCCCTAATATGCTCATATTTAATGTTGTGGCTAAAAAAACAACGCTAATTAAAAAAGTTGGAAAATTAATTATAACCTTATTGATTTTCATTTAACGCTTATTAAAAGAGGTGAAACGTAGATGATAACTCTATTACTTTTTATACTTCAACGGAGCCTGTGAAATAACTCATTTAATATCTTTGTCCCGTGCATCGCCCTTATATATAATTACTGATACGTTGAACCTGAGTTGCAGTCTCGTATGCTTCGTAAGCTTATTTGTCATTAATTTGATATTTTATTGACAAATATTCACTTTTTATCTAAAAATATTTATAGAAAATCGTAACAGGTTAGGTAAACTTTGTTCTTCCAATTAATCAGACGAAACCAATTTCATGAATTAATCTTTGTCAATATATTTTTTTCCTTAACTTTATTTCATTTTATATAAAAAAATAATTCTTTAGATTAATATAATTTACCATTTAAGAGCTAATGACCAAATACATTAAATAGTTGTACTAATGGTCAAAAATTAAATTTGAAATATATCAAATGTTCTAGAATTTATTTGTACATTATTGGCAACCACACGAGAACATATACTGAAAATATATTGTATATAAACGCAACATATCCCACAACATAATAAATCAAACAAAAAAAATTTCAAAAAAGTTGAAACATCATTAATCATACATATATTGAAGGGGAGGTAGGGGAAGAGNATATATATATATATATATATATATATATAGGGGTGGATCAAATGGGACCAACTCTTAAAATGGGATCAGCTCTTAGCAACTACAGACAACTAACCTACCAACTACAGATAACTAACCTAACAACTACAGACAACTAACCTAGCTACTACTAACCTACCAACTACAGAGAACTAACCTAGCAACTACTAACTTAGCAACTACAGAGAACTAACCTAGCAACTATAGAGAACTAACCTAGCAGCAAGAAAGAAATAACTTAGCAACTTAAGAAAACTAACCTACCAACAAAACTCAACTAACCTGACAGCTACAATTAACTAAGCTAACAACAACAGACAACTAACCTAGCAACAAAACACAACTAAAGATAACTAACCTAGCAACAAAAGACAACTAACCTAGCAGCAAGAAAGAAATAACCTAGCAACAAAAGACAACTAATCTAGCAGCATTAGACAACTAACCTAGCAACAAGAAAGAACTAACCTAGCAACAAAAGACACCTAACCTAGCAACAAGAAAAAAATAACCTAGCAACTTAAGACAACTAATCTAGCAACAAAACTCAACTAACCTAGCAGCTACAAATAACTAACCTAGCAACAAAACACAACTAACCTAGCAACAAAACACAACTAACCTAGCAAGAAAGAAATAACATAACAACAAAAGACAAAGGGTCAACGGTCAATGCCGGAAGTCAATGATTTTCGCCGAAAGTCAATGCCGCAAGTCAACGGTCAATGGTCATAATAATATTTAAATAATTTAAAAAAAAATAAATAATTAAATAATAAAAATAAAGAAATATTATTTAAATCAAGATCTTGTGGCTAGAAATGAGTCTCACGTCCTTACTTTAAATAAGCGGATGCATTTGAACCAATCCCTATATATATATATATATATATATATATATATATATAGGGTTGGGTTCACATGAGAATGACTCTTAATGCGAGAAATGAGAATAAATCGTGGTCATTGGATCGGACGATCTAACGATAACAAAAAATTCAACATTTATTTAGTCATTAAGGGTATATTAGACATTTTGACTATAAAATTGTTGGATCTATGCCAACCAACACCACCACACCCAATGATTTAGTGCCATGTGGCCATAACACATCAAACCACCCCCACACCCTCTCTCTCTCTCACACACACCCCTGTACACACACGCGAAGCACACAGAAACATGCCCTCGCCGGTTTGGAACACACACTCGCCGGCAGACCTTCAACCATCCATAGTCGCCGCTGTCGTCACGCTGCCTCCGTTGTCACGCTGCCGCCGCCGTCACCACTCCGCTTCGGTCACACCTCAGCCGTCGCCGTGCTACAGTCGCTGTCGCTCCTCATTCACAATTCCCGACGATTCCTCCGTCGTCTTAGTGCATTCGTCAGCTGTCTCGATTCGTCTCCGGCGACCTTCAATTCGCGGCCAACCTCGACACAAGAGACAACCCTCTGCCGCCGCCGCCTAACTCCGACGACTTCCGTTCGAGACCACCACTACCTTCCACCAACCCGAACAAGAATCTCTTGGTGCAATCGGAGCAGACGGCCGACGAGAATCACTCCGATTGCGTCCAGTTGGCAGGAGAACCGTGGGCGGAGGAGACACATTCAGATCCAAATACCTGCAAATCTGAAATTGAATTGGGCATTTCTTTTGAAAATTAGAAAAGGTTCAAGGACCTAAATGCAATTTCATAAATTTTATTTATATTTCAATTTAGCCTACAATCCAAATCTGTAATTATTAAAAGTTAATAAACAATATTGTTTTTCATATTGGGTATACATATATAATGAATAATAAATATAATATTAAAATAAAATAATAAATAAAATATTGGATAAATAAATAAATAATAACATATTTAAATTATTTCGGTTAATTAGATATACATATATAAATATATCTACAAAACTAGTTTGCGGATAGACATAATAATATTGCACTGTATATAGCATCACGCCGCACTTTATAAAATAACATGTTGCACTTTATAAAACATCAAACTATACTTTATATTATCACATAAATATTGCACTTTATATAGCAACACATCGCACTTTATAAAACATCAAGATATACTTTATCACGACACTACGCAATGAACGTCAATATATCCCGCCAAAATAATACACGACATAAATCTACAAAATAAAGATACATAATATTTTAACATCCATCACATCATCTACACATATAAAAAAACAAACAAAAAACAAAAAACAAAAACACAAATCTACAAAATGAAGATACATAATATTGTATATCATCACGTTGAACTTTATAAAAACAATAACACAACACAATGCACTTGATCACATTTAGCAGATCACACAATATAGAACAAACCCTACCGAACTCAATGTTTTTTTGCAACCAAAAATAATATACAAATGATAAATAAAACTATTAACATATAAAATATAATTTTAATATAAATAACAAATTATTTCGATTAATTATGATAATTGGGTTAATCGAACCGAATAGGCCAATTTAATTATGTTATGTTTCAACTTGATTTGGGACAAAAGTTCAGTTGGTTCAATCTGCACAATCTGACACCATGCACTATGGTGTTGGGCGAATTTCACTTTAATAACTGTTAGATTGCACTGTATATTTCGTTTACATTTACACTACTTTTTTAAAGTAAAAATAATATTTATTTTTTTC